TTATGCATACATGCATATAAGTTCTTTGGTTCATCTCATTTATCCCCCCCCCCCCCCCCCCCGCCATCCTCTGAAGTTTGTCAGTCTGAACCATACTCCTTTCTATGTCTCTGGGTCTATTTCATTCTTCAGCCTACCTTGTTCATTATATTCCACAAATAAGTGAGATCATGTGGTATTTGTCTTTCTCTGATTGGCTTATTTCGCTTAGCATAATACTCTCCAGGTCCCTCCATGTCATCTCAAAGGATAAGAGATCTTTCTTTCTTACAGCTGCATGGTACTCCATTGTGTATAGGTACCACGGCGTTTTTTATCCACTCGTCTATTGATGGACACTTGGGCTGTTTCCAGATCTTAGCAATTGTAAATAGTGCTGCTGTGAACATAGGGGTACATATATTCTTTCTGAATGGTGTTTCAGGCTTCTTAGGATAGATTCCTAGATATGGGATCACTGGGTCAAATGGCAATTCAATTTTTAACACCATACTGTTTTCCATAGTGGCTGCACCAGTCTGCATTCCCACCAGCAGTGTACTAGAATACCCTTTTCTCCACACACTAACCCCCCACTCCGGTGTATTTTGGATTAAAAAAAATGTAGCAAAAGGTAAGAAAGTTTAAAGACTGGTGGCCACACCCTCAGGATGTGTCACAGAGAGGAGCTGGTGCCCTCAGCCCTCCCCACCAACCCTGCCTTCTTTTCCATTTCATGACCTAATTTTTCTCCCCCACATCCTCTGCTCACCCCACTTGGCTTCTTGGTGTCCTATTAAGGTCCTGTACACCTTGGATTGGCTCTCAGGAACCTCATGGGAGGGTCTTGGGGAAGTCTCATTCTCACTAGGTGACATTAGGGTCCACCTGGTATTGCCCGACACTGTGACAACCTTGTGCTCTCAGCATTTTCTCAGAACTGCCTCTAGCCCAGGTTGTATAGCATCAGCACAGCCTGAAGGTTAAAATCAGGAGCTCTGGGGTCTGACAGCCTGGATTCAAGTCCAGCTTCCCTAGGTATCATCTATGAGACCTTGGGCAAGCTACTTACCTGTTTTGAAACTCCTGGTATCCTGGTGTGGAATATGGGGCGGGGGTGGGAGGGTGCTAAGTGACACAGGAACGAATAGCATTGAGCACAGCAGCCAGCACACACATGCCCTCTGTGACCACAGCTAAGGGGCTCAGCCCTGACCTACCCAGCAGAGCCCTCTGATTGTCTGTGTCCTGCCTCTTGTTTGCTCTGTGTCTGAGGCTGACCTCTCACCTACATCCCCCCTGCTGTACTGGAGATGCTGCTTCCTGTTGCCGGATAGACTAAGGATTTGAGAGAGAGACAGGAGATCCTGGGGCAGGGACCATTGGCTGGGTGGTCCAGGGCCTGCCCCCAGGGCAGGGGGGCGCTCAGTAAGCAGCCAGTCAGAAGGGGGCTGCTCAGGAATTTAGAGGGGCCTCCAGCCAGTGACCTTTGCTCCCTCAAACATCTGGCTCTATTCTGGAGGCTCCCACTCCCTTTATTTCCTTGGGATGGGGGGAGCACCCCCTTTGACCCAGAGATATCAGAGGAGCGGGAGTGGGGTCACAGCACCCTCTTTTCTCCTCTGCTTTCTCTGTAAAAATTTTATATGTGAGTCTTCTGTGAGTGAGGCCAGACAGTACAGGCATTGTTCTCTCTTCCCTGTCCCTGGGTTTCCTCCTAAGCAGTCTTATGCCTGTTCTCAGCACACTCCACCACACCAATTCCTGTCCTGTCTTCTTGGCTCACCTTCCCCTGCTGGGCTGGGTCAGGCCACTCTGGCCACCCACTACAGGCATCTGTTTACTAAACAGGTGCAGGTGAGGCACAGAGCAGGCTGGGCTGGGTGAGGGCTGAGCTGTAGGCTGGAAGAAGAAGGGCACACCAGGGCCTTGACACTTCCTGGTTGCTTATCTGTTTGTGTCTCTCCTGGCCCACAATGGCTCAGGTGAGAGCAGAGGAAGAGGAGCAGCCAGGTTGTGATTGTATTTGGACATCACCTGGATCTGTGTTTATTCGTGTGGACAGTTTTACTGCCAACAAAGCTTCTGGGCTCACTGATGGCTTAGGTCCCTCTAGGGTGAGGGACACTCTCATATTGTTCCCTAGGCAGATAAGGTGGCCATTCAGATACCTCCTCCTACCCCTGGCTCATCTGTCACTGGATGTCACTACCTGAAGGCAGGAGAGTAGAGGGCCAGGCAGTGCTTTTGGCAGGGACTTATTTAAGAAGAGAAGGCTGGTAGCCCAAAGTAAGATCCCTGCTTCTGTGTGTAGTGGCTCTAGGATGAAAGATGGGAGGGACAGAGACCCTTCCCTCTACGCTGACCTGTCTCCTCATGAGCTCCCTGTCTAGTTACAGGGGTTTAATCCTCATCCGAGGATATTTGTTCCATTTATCTTCAGATAGAGTGGGAGGGGGAGAGAGAGAGGGAAGCGTTGATATGAGAGAGACACATTGATTGGCTGCCTTATGCACGACTCAGACCAGGGCTGGGGAACGTACTGCAACTGAGGTATGTGCCCTTGACTGGGATCGAACCCACAACTCTTTGGTCCATGGGTCGACGCTCTAACCACTAAGCCAAACCAGCCAGGGCAGTGACCAGATCTTTAAACAATTCAGATGTTTACACCCCATCTCCACTTATATCAAACTGGGGAAACTGCCTTGGGATTTTATCTTCTCTCTTGGTGAGTGCAGCCATGGATTTAATGTTCCCCTGTGGTCCCTCCAGCTGTGGCTCCCTGCTTATAGCAGCAGACCCTGCTGCACTGACTCCAATAATGGGCTCTAGACCCTGCATGGCCAGTCAGGTCTCCTAGGCCAACAGTCCCAGACCCTCTCCACCCATCCACTCTGTCACACCTGTGCTGGTTTGTTTATATCTGCACACCAACCTGGAAATGGCTGTCATCCCGCTTCACCAGTTCCTGTTGTTGCTGGCAGAGCTGACACCCGAAGCCACTGCCAACCTGTGAAGTGGGGCTGCCTTCCCAGAAGCTGCCCCACAGTGGGTGAGCAGCTCAGGCCCGCCGGCTCAGTGTGTGTGACAACTCCGAGGTGAATCCTAGTGAGCTCAGATGACAGTTTTGGCTGCCAGTGAGGTGGGGCTTCTTTTGGAAAACAGAGAAAGCAGTAGGCTGGGTGGGGTGGGAATCTGGCTTGGTAGATTTTGTTTCTGTGGCTTCAGGAGGTTGACCTTATGGTTATAATCTCCTTAAATCCCCCTCTGTCTTCAACTTCTTGTTGTGTATCCTATTTCCTTTCGTCTCTCTTGATCCTTTTGACCATTGTGATCTGATTCCATTGTTTTTATTAATTCAGTAAACAACTGCTCTATACCAGGACCTAAATAAGGTGTTGGGGGCACAGGTGACCAGAACGCAGTCCCTGCACTCCAGGTCCCCCAGCTAGTGGAAGACTACACACAAATTTAGGCTATCTCATACACAGTTAGAGAACTCTGCTCCCAGGTACCGCGTCGGGCTCTGCTGCCAGTCAATTGTACCACAACCCCCATCCTGAGCTTCCAATAACAGTAATTATACAAAATTTCAGCTATTATTTATTGAGCACTTTCTATGCTTGTGTGCGCTCTAAATGTTATCTGGATTTTCTTATCTTCCCTAGAACTCTAAGAGGTAGATACTAATTAATAGATTATGCTCATTTTACAGATAAAAAACTGTGAAAGAGCAAGATTAAGTCACTTCTCCAAGGTCATACAGGTAGGAAGTGGAGGAGCTAAAGTTGGAACCCTGCATCTCACCCTTGATCAGCATGCCCCCAGGAGGGCTTATTGGTTAAAGGTCGGCATATGGCATGAATCACCCAAAGTGCATCCTTTTCCATGACCTTGGGGCAGCCCTGAGAGGCCTGGGCAGGCCTTTGCCGACCTCAGCTTTACAGCCCTGGCGCCAGAGGGCCACAATCTGGAGGCAAGTAGTTCTCTGAAGAGGTATTTCCTTGTCTCTCCCAGTGTTACCTCAACTCTAATCAGAGGCCGCTCCTCTTTACGCGGGATTAGTCAGCATCTCTTAACCAGCAGTCTCAGCGAGGAGAGAGTTCTTCAGCTATGTTCTGTCCTATCCCCCACCCTCCTGCCTTCAGCTGCCACAGCACTTTTTCCTTCCTATTTTTGTTGTCTTGGTGCTGGATGGACTTTGGAGAGGGCCATTAAGGGCCAGGATTATAGCACAGGTGTGGCTTCCAGGACAGCAAACATGGTGACTCTAGTGAGAGAAATAAGAAAGGTGCACCTCAACAAGTAAAAGCAAATAAATTAGGACTATTTTAAAAAATCATTCCCCAAGGGGTTCTACAACACGATATGTGTGGTGGTTGATGATATGAAAATATAGGGGGAGGAGGTAGCACATGGACTGCATGTTTGAGAAGCCCACTGTACTTAGCAGTACAGGGGGCCCATTCACTCTTCCAAACTGACCTAGGAGAACCCCAGGGCCTTGCAGTGAGACCAACAGCTTGTCTGTTCCTGGTGGTCTAGGGTCAGCCTCCTATATACTGGCTGTAGTCTGCTTCCATGGACAGAGCTACTGAAAAGGTTCTAGCCAACCTAGGGCCCCATTGCCAAGGCTGGGACCTGAGGTCTACAATTCTAGGGTATACGTGACTCTAGAATGGGAATCCTTACCTGGGGCTCATGGGTGCTTTAAGGGAAACATGAGGCCCCTGAAATTGTAAGACTTTGTGTGCATTTTCTGGGGAGCAGGAGCATAGCTTTCTTTATTGGATTCACCAAAGGATCTGTGACCCCCACAAAGTTAAGAACCTCTGCATTGTTGTTCCAGGGGGATTGGGCCAGATGGACATCCAGGCCTGCTGTAGAGTATCTGAGCCCTCAGGAGGCCCAGATACAGCCCTGCTATTCCCAGTGGGGTGACTTTGAATGTGCACTCTGATCATTGGGAATCCTTGCCATGACCCTCTGATCAGGTTTCTCTCTCTTTGCATACACAGAGAATGTCACCAACGGCACAGTGGGAGGCATGGCACAGCCAGGGCAGGAAGAAGAGGTGAGCTGGATGAATGGTTGGCTCAGCTGCAAGGCCCAGGATGAGATGCTAAACTTGGCCTTCACTGTGGGCTCCTTCCTGCTCAGTGCCATCACCCTGCCCCTAGGCATCGTCATGGACAAGTATGGCCCAAGGAAGCTCAGGCTGCTGGGCAGGTCAGTGTGGGGTAGAAGGTGGGCTGGTAGACCCTGGGTCGAGTTCCCCACTATAGGGAAGTCTGGTACTTCTATCAGGAACACTGTGGAGCTCCCAAACTGCCCACCCAGTGTGGGGTTTCTACCCCATCTGCCACCAAATCAGTAGGTACTATGATCCTTGTAATGTCCAGTATTGCATTAAAAAGGCCCAGGGCCCCAGGCCTGCCTGGGAGAGTCTGGAGTTGTGTGTCATTAACAACACTAGCTTCCACAGTCTTTATGACCTTTTACCTCTATCAGAAAAAAACAAAAAAAGGTTGTGAAAATATACTTCTAATATAAGCACATGGAATTATATGCACATACCATTCTTAATTTTTAAATGTGCTTTGTGATACACCTACAAAAATATAAATTAAAATGGCTGAGATTAAAAATAGTAAAATAGAAGTCCTAATATTTTTCCTTCCCACTGGCACCTGTGTGAATCGACATGGGCACCCTTTGGGGGGTGTGTCCCTGGTCTGTAAAGTTCCAGTGTGCCAGACTCAGGGTCAGTCCACCCAACAACTAGCCTCTCAGGTCACAACCTCCACAAGCTAGTCCCACCGGGAGTGATCATCTCTCAGGGCAGTGGTTTGCAATGAGTGAGACCTGTGACTGGGGAGGGAATGGGTAGTAGAACAGTTTCATTCGCTTTTTGGAGGGGATTCGGGAGCTGCTACTCATCTTGCGCCTGCCCAGTGGATTCTGTCCATCTCTGACTGAGTGAGCATAGGAGCCTGGGGAGTGAATTGTGCCCTCTCCTGCTTCAGAGCCTTGGCCCCTCCTCCAGTCTGGGCATGGGAGGGGGCAGTGTAGTGTGGTGTTTGCCAGATGTGGCTTCCAGACTTGAATTCCTGCTTAGGCACTTACTAGTCAGAGATTTAGGAGAAATCAATTTCTTTTTTTTTTTCTCATCAGTAAAAGGGGGCCAATTATACTCCTTAGAATTATTAAATTAAATTAAATATTATACGTAAATTTTCCAAAAGTATCTAATACTAGTAAATGCTCCCAAATAGTAAGAATATTAGCAATGACAGTAATAAGAAATAATGTATCATTTCTGCTTGTTTTTAGTGCCTGCTTTGCTGTCTCCTGCTTGCTGATTGCATATGGAGCAAGTAACCCAAACTGTGAGGACACTTTTCCTCCACGCTTTTATCAGGGACTGGGGAGAGTGCCCAGAGATGCTCAGGCCCATCTGCTCTAGGATGCTGTGCCAAGCTTAGTGCTCACTGCTCAAGTTAGAAGGGATGCTTGTTAGGCCCTTACCCAGTTACTTATCTCAACTGGGTGGGTGGGTAAAAGAACAATCGCCCCAGATTGATGTCTGAGAGAAGCTCCCAGGGTGTTCATCACCAAGCCAGGTCAGTCTGTGATGGCCTCATTGATCCAACCTGAGAGGCCAGTTCCAAGAATTAAGCCAGCTACAGGGTATGTGCAGAATCGTCAGCTGGGTCCCCTTGAGCTTAGAAGCCACCTGGTCCCCAACCCTATTCAGGTGGAGCTGTTGCTTCAAGGACTATTAGAACAAACACCAAAATAGGACTTGCGTTTCACCATCTATTGATTTGGGGGTACCTGTATTTTTTGTTTCAGTGAAGCAGCTTCTTTAGGCCTCTCATTTGCTGCTCAGGTTAGTGGAGAACAGAGGATGGGGAGGCACCTTTTGTAAGAGCCCAAAAGCCTGGACCTCCCTGAAGCTCAGCTGTGGTTCCCTGATTATGTGCCTTCTGTTTTCTCACAGCTCTCTCTGTGCTCATCTTCATCTCCCTGTCTCTGAATGGCTTTGGTGGGATGTGCATGACTTTCACCTCATTAACAGTAAGTATCCGTTTCTTTAAGATCTCAGTTCAGTCTTGTGAATTTGAAGCAGTTTTTATTGGCTTTGATTTCTTTGCCTTCCATTCGCCTGCATCTGCCTGGACATCCCAAGCAGTAGAGGGCTGCTGGTGCTGAAGTGGCCAGATAGCACGGTCTCCCAGCTGGGGAGGTTCCGCAGGCACAGCAGAGCACAGCTGTCAGAGCGGGCCATCCCCTGCCTGCTGACCTTGGCTCAGGTGCTGAGGAAGCCAGCTTACTAGCCATGTGTCCAGGGAAGACAGGAGCAGGGGGGGAAAAAAGCTACCGCCCACTTGCTTTCCTGATTTTCCATGACAGCTCTGGCTAACAGTGCAACCTAAAAACAAACATCCTGCCCTGGCGGGTGGCTTGGTTGGTTGGAGTGTCTTCCTGTACACAAGAAGGTTTCAGGTTTGATCCCTGAGTGGGGCACATACCTCCTTTATAGTTTTGATACCTGGTCAGGACATGTGTGGGAGGCGACTGATTGATGTTTCTCTGTCACCTCATGTTTCTCTTTCTCTCTCCTTTTCCCTTCCTCCTTCTCTGAAAAGCAATTAAAAACAAACAAACATATCCTCAGATGAAGATAAAAAAATAAAAGTTTTAAAATAAAAACAAAGCTCCCTCGGAATCTCCCCGCCCCTAACCACTGCCTTTGCCCAGAACTGAATGAGAAACTCAGGGAGCACACAGGCTGCCTGTCTTGGTTTTCCGAATGCCAGGACACAGAGAGCCCCTGTAGGGAAGGAGGTGTTTTCTCAGGATGCTGAGCATCAAAATGCCACGGAATGTGCTCCTTGCTGAGGTGAGAGAGACTGCAGGAAGGTTCAGGGTGAAGGAAAGAAAGTCAAAGAAGGCCAAAAAAGTCTTTCCTGGGAAGAAGGAAGCTCTCTGCTGGCTCACCTAGTCGGGCTAGGGTGCCTTTCAGAGCTGGCCATTGGAAAAGAAGTGAGAATAATAGGCTCTTCAAAAAGATTTCTGTCAACAGGAAAGTCTGGCTTGCCTCAGTTTCCCCATGAAAAAGTATTTATGACACAGTACCTGTCACCATTATTTACAGGATACTCTGGTTTCTTTTTTTTTTATCCTCACTCGAGGACATTTTTCCATTTTTTGTTCAGATAGAGAGGGAAGAAGAGAGAGAAAGAAACATTGATGTGAAAGGGACACATCGAGTGGTTGCCACCCGCATGACCCAACCAGGGCCAGGGACAAACTGCAACCGAGGTACATGCCCTTAGCGGGAACCAAACCCGGGTCTCTCTGGACCGCAGGCCAACGCTCTAACCGCTGAGCCAAACCGGCCAGGGCCAGGATACTCTGGTTTCTGATTTCTCTTACCGCGAAAGAGTCAGGAGTCAGACCGTTGAGGAGCCCTTGTTTAGCTGTGTGGGAACCCTGGGGACTGCTGGTCTTGTAAGGATCTGGCATCTCTGTGACCCCTTGCCTGCAGGCTGTGAGCCAGAGGCCAGGCCAGTCCCAGTGTCTTTTCTGGTCACCCCTCCTGTGCTTTGCCTTGTTAACTTTACCCTGGTGGGAAGGATCAACTCTGTGGGTCTGGGCCTTTGGAAATGGAGTGTTCAGTGGCGTCTGTGTTAGGTGAGAAGGGCCATGGCACACAGCCATGTATGCAGTGTGCTCGGGGAGTGGGGAACACACGCACATCTGGGAACTCTGGTTGCCTCGCTCCGGTGGTATGAGAGAGATTTGGTTTATATTCTTGTGCATTTAAAAAAATTTTTTTTCTTTATTAATTTTTAGAGAGAGAGAAAGGGAGAGGGAGAGAGAAATAGAAACATCAATTGACTGCCTCCTGCATGCCCCCCACTGGGGATCGGGTCCACAACCTGGGCATGTGCCCTGACCAGGAATCGAACCAGTGACCTCTGGGTGCATGGGTCTACGCTCAACCACTGAGCCACACTGGCCGGGCTCTTTTGTACATTTTTATTTTTTATTTTATTAACCAGGTAGATTAAGAAAAGAAATATATTCCCTCCTCCACTCAAATACCTGGAGGTAAGTAAGTGTCAAAATTGTAGGAAATCTGTTAGAACTGCCAAAAGGACACAGATTCCACTAAGTTGTGTAAACTGTGTAGCAGGAGTCATGGCTCTGTTTGTTCTTTGACAGCCTGAAAATGACCAACTCTCATCAAAATGAAGATTAAAAACCTGGCATCACCCCATTATTTTAGTCACTCTATACCTATGTCATGGCAATTCTGAATTTTGGGATAAGAGAAAGAGTTGGCCCTTGAACTTGAGGAGTTTATGCACTGAAATGCAGAAAGATGCTTTATTGTGATCAAGCATAAGACAAATGGATAAAAACCACTATACCATGAATCCTCTCTAAGAAAGCCTTTAAAATGAAGTTATAGTTGTCTAAGAAACTTTTAGGGGAGACTATTAAGCCCATAAGGACATGTTTTCTTTCTTTTTAAAAAAGTTAATATTTTAGAAGTATAAAGTATAGACTAAAATTCTATAAGACCACCATTATCAGTTTAGAATGTATCTCTTTGGCATTTAAAAAAATCTGCATAAGCCCAGCCAGTGTGGCTCAGTGGTTGAGCATTCGTCCACCCATGCCCCAAGAGGTCACCAGTTCGACTCGTGGTCAGGGCACATGCCCAGGTTGTAGGCCAAGACCCCAGTGGGGGACATGAAGGAGGTGGCCAATTGATGTTCTCTCTCATTGATGTTTCTATCTCTCTCTACCTCTCCCTTTCTCTCTCTCTTAAATCAATAAAGAAAAAAATTATTTAAAAATTCTTCATATACCAATTTTCTCTTTTTTGTTTGTTTAGTCCTTATTCAAGAATATTTTTTCGCCCTGGCCGGTTTGGCTCAGCGGTTAGAGCGTCCGCCTGCGGTCCGGAGAGACCTGGGTTCGGTTCCCGCTAAGGGCATATACCTCGGTTGCAGTTTGTCCCCGGCCCTGGTTTGTCGAGCGGGTGGCAGCCACTCGATGTGTCCCTTTCACATCGATGTTTCTCTCTCTCTCTCTTCCTCTCTCTCCCTCCCACTCTATCTGAACAAAAAAAAAAAATGGAAAAATGTCCTCGGGTGAGGATAAAAAAAAAAAAGGAATATTTTTTCCATTGTTTTTTTTTTTTTAGTCCTCACCTGAGAATATTTTTTCTATTTATCTTCAGATAGAGTGGGAGGGAGGAAGAGAGAGGAAGTGGGAGAGAGAGAGAGAAACATCAACGTGAGAAGGACACATCGACTGGTTGCCTCTTGCACGACCCGACCAGGGCCGGGGACCAACCGCAACTGGAATCATGTCCTTGACCGGAATCGAACCTGTGACTTTTTGGTCAGCGGGCTGTTGCTCTAACTGCTAAGCCCAACTGGCCAGGGCTTTCCATTGATTTTTAAAGCATGGAAGGGAGAGGAAGAGAGAGAGGGGAAAAGATCGATGTGCACATTGATTGGTTGCTTCCTGAACATGCCCTAAATGGGGTCGGAAATTGAACCTGCAACCCAGGTACGTGCCCTTGACCCTGAATTGAGCCTTGACCCTTTGGTGCGAGGGCTGACACTCTAACCACTGAGTAACACCAGCCAGAGCTGTTATCCTTTTTTTTTTTATCCTCACCTGAGGACATTTTTGCATTTATCTTCAGATAGAGAGGGGGGAAGAGACAGAGAGAAACATCGATGTGAGAGAGACACATCGAGTGGTTGCCACCTACACGACCCCAGCCAGGGATGGGGACAAACTGCAACCGAGGTACATGCTCTTAGCGGGAACCAAACCCGGGACTCTGGTCCGTGGGCCAATGCTCTAACCGCTGAGCCAAACCAGCCAGGGCTATTCTTTTTTTCCCCCAAGAAATACTGTTACAACTTGCCTTTTTCACTTAACAATGTATCTTTTACATCTTTTCCTGCCTGTGCTTAGAAATCTACCTTATTATTTTAAGCTCTAGAGATCTTCCTCATTATTAAAGAGTTCCATGTAATTTTATAATACAGTTATACCATAATTTATTTAACCAGCTTCCTACTAATGGACACTTGGGTTAGTTTCCAATTTTTCTGATTTATGATGCTGCTGAAATGAACATTCCATATATTTCTGTAAAATACATTTCTGGAAATGGGATTGCTGGGCCCCAGGATCAGCATGTTTTAAATTTTAATGTATGCTGTCAAATGGTCTTTCCAAAAGGTTATACTGTACATTGATACCATCCTACTAACAGGTATGAGAGTGTCTTTTTCTCCATACCCCTTCCAGCACTCTATCATTAATATTTTAAACATTAGCTGGTCTGATCTGGTGAAAAATGATAAAACATGATTTTTAAATTTTTTTCTTTATTTGTTAGTGAGATGGAGCATTTTTTTACCTCTTTCTTGTGGTCATTTGTATTCTATGAATTGCTTCTTTGGATCATTTGTCTATTTTTTCTACAGGGTTATCTTTCATATACAAAGAAATTAGCTCTTTTTCTGAGTGAGCAAATGTTCTTACCCTGGGGTTTTTAGGCTTCTATGGGGTCTGTGAATAAGCCTTAGGAGGGCTGTGCACTCCCTTGAGATTATATTCAAACAGACTGTGTGTGTGCTCCGCAGGTGCACTTTTCTGGGGAAGGGTCCATGGCTTTCAACAACCGCTATTAGGTCTTTGTGGAGGCCACAGGCACTGCAGCTGGAGCGTTCCTGTTAGTGCCTCACTATTCCACGGGGAGGTAAAAGGTTACACCGGTCATAAAGTGAGTGACCAGGCAAGAAAACCGTGTGGTCCGCACTTAAAGCGTTTGGTTAGTAGGGATCTATTTAAGGGAGGCTGGTGGCTTGTCCTCTAAGGGGTCCCCATTCTTGGGTCTAGAGCAGACGTCAGCACATTGCTTCCCCCAGGCCAAATTGAGACTATTCCAGGGAAAGGTGTTGTAAACAAAGTTTTGTTGGTATACAGCTGTGCCCACTTGTTTCTTTGTGCTGCAGCTGCAGAACGAAGTGGTT